ACGGCGACGCACTTGCATCATGGGCCCCGAGGCCTGTCGAGGAGCCACATCCTCGCAATATAGTCAAAGCTGAAAAAATAAAAATAAAAATAAGAGGTTGTATACCTCAAGAGACCTACAACCCCATTTTTTTTGGTTACTGTTTAACCCACAAAAAAAAAATCATCGCGGATTCCAATGAAACCCGTTGCATTGGCGTTTAAACGCCAAGTCAACAAGAATTCAACGTGTGTTGAATCATTCAAGGCGGACCCCCCGTTGAATCCGTTTTCATACACACAACGCGCGTGAACGCCAAAATATCCCCCTTTTTTTGTGCATTTTTCCATATGATCGTGGACATTCTCCCATACGATCGCAAAAATTCGGACCTAAGTGACAGGGAAAGGGGAAATATGGTGGCGTTGGGCCTGAACTTTTTGTGCTCGGCTAAGAATCGAAAGAGGCCGCTTGTTTTTCGTGAATGCGTAGGTAGGATATTTTCATAGGCTCAACAGTCGAAATTAGGTTCGGAAGCCGATGCAGTACAGGGCCACTTTGTTTCCTGATACCATGACCTACTTAGTGCCACACATGACCTTTCGGGACCGAAACGGATTCGGGACTAAGCCCGAGCATAGCCTTGGAACCGGTGCGCTCCACATATCTCAACACCCGCCTGACGCTCGATAGCACCGAAGCGCTAAGGCCCACGCAGTCCTAGGACCAATAAAAGTTTAAAAGCCCAACTAGGTCCTTTTGTGGGACACTTCGGACTTGCCCACATGCTGGCACACAAAGTGCACTAGCCTTCCCACGCATGAGGATTGGTGGGAGAGGACTTCACACACGTACGTACCGGCGAATTGGTACATCGCACACCGAAAGGACATGAACAGCCAGATTCCACGCGCTCTTGGGCACAAATTAGGTGCGGGCACTCATGCACGGGCCGGGCGCGCACCCACGCACGGCTTACCGTGCTCGATTTCAAATGGGAAGCGGCGAATGTTCCTGAAGATCGTCAACATCATCACCATCTTAGTTGGAAAGAGCACACGCATCTGCGCTCGATTTGTCAAAACCATCAACATTATCATTCATCATTGTCATCATTAACAAGGGACAGTGGGCTCAACTGCGCGTTGTCGAGCGCATCGGTCACACAGAGGTGACCCTCCCGGTCGCGTCAGTTAGGATTTTGCAAGACTTCATCATAGAGCATTGTCGCTTCGGCCGAGTGCGCCAGCCATACCTCTCGCGAACCCCTACGACAAAATAGGGCCACGCAAGGTACAACTTACCTCCACCCGTGGGAGTTGTCACCATCCCTAAGGTGGGTGTATCCCCGCCGAGCTACCGAGCCACATGGGAAGATTTTTCGTATGCAATCGCAGAGGTGGCCCAGCTGAGGGCGTTTCTCATTGGTTGTAGCATAGGGGGTTCGAAACGTTAACGCCCGAATCGAACCTGTGCGCCAATCGTCACCCGAGGCACCGATCTCTCGAGCGCGACCCTACGCAGGTTGATTAGGACGGTCAAATCTAACCACAAGATACATCTCACGGAAACTAAAATTGAACTTCACTCGTAAGTGCGCCTAGTCCCTTTTTTCATGCTTGACCCATAACTTTTACAAAGAAGATCAGACGAGTATCGCGCGCGAGGCTCAAAATAAATATCGCGGCAGCACAGGTCTTAATCATATCAGCTAGCCATGCATGAGCACAAGCAGCCGCAGTGATGGCGTATTATGTATTATTCATAATCATGTGGCCCTCTATGGTCTCGAGGGTCACCTTCGACACTCAAGTGTCGGCTAACATACGTCTTGAGGGACTAATCTCTCAGTGCTAGACAACCACAAAAGGCGGTTGGGAGTTCTACCCTCTTCTGCACCTTGTGGAGAGTGGGTGGTAGACGGGCTCCGGCCCTTTGTGGTGGTCCGCGCTTATGGCCTTGGTTTGACCTTGACGGCCGCCATGGACCTTAACGTCCAACCATAAAAATTCTAAGAGCCTTGGTTTGACCTTGACGGCCGCCATGGACCTTAACGTCCAACCATAAAAATTCTAAGAAGTAAGGGATATATGAAGGGATCTTCCCTTTCTCTCAAGACATAACTTATTTAATCGCTACGCACAGTCCCAGTAGGCCATGCAGACACAAAGGATACACAAATATAAAGGGTTATAAGATACAAGACGATCACTCTCACAATCACAGTGTAGCTTCCTTCACAAATATTTATGCAATCGCAGGCAAAATCGGATCTGGATTTGGACTCACAAAACATACCTGCAATCACATCAACGACTAGGCTACAAAAGTCGCCCGGAGTCGCCCGGGTCGCCCGGGTGACTGATTTTCGTTCCTTTTTTTTTTTTTTTTGAAAGGGGGGGGGGAGATCTTATTTGCGCTTCTAAAGAGCTATCCAAATCCGCTTTTTTTTTTTTTTTTTTTTGGGTTTTCGACATTTTGGAAGGGGGGTCTCTCTCCCTCGTCTTCCTCCACCTCTCTCCCTCCTCATCCTCCTCCTCGCTCCCTCCTCCTCGTCCTGTCTCGGCATGCGGCCGTACCCAAACCCCTCCTCCGCTATCTCATCCACCTCCCACTGCCTCCCAAACGATCGCGCCGTCACCACGTGCCCACTCTCTCCACGTGGCCCATATGCCTTTGGCAACCCATAACTGAGCTTGAAAAAAAAAAAAAAAAAAAAGGAATAAAAAAAAGCACCGAAATGAAAGAATGGACATGGCCGATGTGAAAGGACAAGACGAAGAAATGAGAATACCAAACGGCGAAGAAGAATAATGGAGGAGCAGGAGGAATCATTCTTCCTCTTCTTCATCCTCCTAGTTTCTTCTGCCTCCTCCACCTCCTCTTCCATTATTTTTCGTTGTCCCCCTCCTGTCTCCCTCCTCCTCCTCCATCTCGTCGACTTCCTGCTGCTTTGTTCGTCCTCCCCCTCCTTTCTCTGATGTCCTTCTCATCCTCCTTTCTCCGACGTCCTCATCATCGACCCCGCAAGTGTCCTTACCATTCGCCCATTTTCGCCATGTGCCCACTGTTCGGCTGTTGAAGGCTTCAAGTTTCAAGGACGCCACGTGGCCCACTGTCGAGAAGTCTCCGATGATTAAAGTTCAAGGACGACGAAAGTAGGAGGAGGCGGCGGAGGCGGAGGAGGAGGAGGAGGAGAAGTCGTCCGTGGGGCCACTGTGCGGACATTGCAGGCCTTCGGCGGTGGGGCAATGGCAACGGCAAGAACCGGTAACTGTTGGGCAGGGGGTCTTGCAGGCGAGGTCATGTAGTGTCATGCCCTGCTGTAGTCGCCCGTTAGTGCAGAAGGCTTGCAGGGAGAGAAGAGGTGGTGCGCCGCCTCCAGCCTGCAGAAGGCTTGCAGGGAGAGAAGAGGTGGTGCACCGCCTCCAGCCTGGGCGATCTGCGGGTGGATGACGAGGGCCAACTATCAGAATTCGAACTACTTCTGCCTTCCCCCTGCCTGTCTTCTCCACACGGAGTGCACATTTTTTTCCCACCCTTCAGTCATCTGGGGTTCGCAACCCTACGCACCACGGACACAAGACAACGATGGGCAAACATCAGCAACTCCATGTACACATATGAAACTGGTCACGGGATACCTTTTAGGACTAGTCCTACAAGCTGTAGTTTTAGAATTCTTCCAACCATCACGCAGCCAGTCCTAAAAGCTGTAGTTTTTAGGACTATTTTTTTGGGGATTCTTTCCATGTACACATATGAAACTTGCCAGCATTAGATTAGAACGGTGTTATGTGGGATATCTGAATCTTGCTTTCTGTGGGTTTGTGATGTTGGTAGTCATAACTAGGAAGGTCCAGGTTTTGTCGTTTCCGAGGAGAGTTAGGAAGATGGATTTTGGTTGGCAAAAAGTTTGGCTCCTAGGTTCCGCCTGGACCGGTTGTTAGGTTGGTTAAGGTTTTCAAGTCTGAAACAAGTAAGCTAAACCGGCTGACGCTGCCGGGATATCTTCCGGGTTGAATTGTGAGGTCCCCGGCCTCGTTATGTTTCTTAAGATATAATAATAATGGAATGGTCCTTTTCAAAAAAAAAAAAAAAAAAAAAAAAAAAAACAACAACAACTTGCCAGGGGATACCTTCTAGGACTAGTCCTAAAAGCTGTAGTTTTAGGATTCTTCTAACCAACACGCCGCCAGTCCTAAAAATCTTTTAGAACTCGTCCTAATGTTTTTTGGATTTTTTGAGGAGTGTCTAACGAGACCCTTAGTAGGGTGCATTTAATCAACTAGGACCCTTCGGGAAACAAAAAAAGAACAAAAAAAGGGGAAACTTTCGGAATGAACCCGGCCAACCACCTTTCTCGGCTTTTTGGCTAAGATCAGTGTAGTATCTGTGTTGACTCATTGGGGTGCCGACTCAGCAGGGCGTCGAAGCTCGTCCTCTGCTGATTCACCAGAATCAGGCCATAATTTTCTTAGAGCGGCACGTGTGCCCTCTGAGGTCCCTGTGCTGAATCAGCGGGGCGTAGAAGTTCCCCCTGTGCTGCCTCCTCAGCAAAGCGTACAAGTTCTCCCTGTGCTGGCTGAGCAGAGTGTAGAACTTCTACCTGTGCTGATTCAGCAGGGCGTGGCCAGTTCCCCCTTCCCAGACCTTACATCTCATCAGACAGCCATTCCATTTGGACACGTCGTGGCTTTTTTTTTCTCTCTTTTCCTTTCGAGAGAAGACAGGAACCGAAGCACACCAAAACCAAGATCCTTCTTGGTTTACAGAGTGATGAGTGGTAGCTCAAGTCCTTCCTCCCCAAGACTCGTTATGACCAGTCGGCCGCCGAAGCCTAGACTTGTTACGACCAGTCGAAGCCAATCTGACCCATAGGACCGGAAGGCAATGTTCAAAAGGGACACATTATCAACAAGAAAGCCAGGAGGAAAACCACAAGGATCCAACCGAACTAAAGTTTAGCCATCAAAAGAGGGTAGAGCCGTAGACAGCGAACGAACACTGACAGCACCTACCATCTCTGCGAGGAGTCTGTCGCGATAAGGCCTCCAAACTCCAGTGTGGCGTAAAAAGTGTGCATATAAAGGTTCATCAAGAGCACAAACATCATCGCGCTGCGCGCCAAACAAGACCACAACCCAGAACACACGCACAAACACAGTCGTCAGCACATTCGTCTTGAAACACAACTACTAATAAATCATTAAAGGAAACAGGGCCAAACGAATATTCTCTGTTCAGCAAACGGATGTGAATCTTCTCTGTAGATGAAAAATGAATCTTCCCTGTTGAGGAAACGCAGCTTCTCTGTTGCTGCGCAAACGAATCGTCCCTTCTGTTGAAAACGACATTTCTAAGTTGAGAGAGAACGAATCTTCTCTTCTCTGTTTCACAAGGGGACAGAAAAAAAAAAAGGAAGGAAACAACCGATGGTAGTAAAAGTTCAAAAAACTCCTCCACGTACATGACGGATCACGGTCCGTGCAAAAGAGCTGAACCGTTTGTCATGCAGTACTTTGAACTCCTATGCACGTGGAAAACCACCACAGAGAGAGAGAGAGAGAGAGAGAGAGAGAGAGAGAGAGAGAGAGAGAGAGAGAAAGCGAGAGAGAGAGAGAGAGGAGGGGGCAGAGCAACAGAAATCCAGAGAAGAAAAAAAGGACAACGATTATACATAGGGACGAACAGAGGAGAACCCTCCTCTTACCTTCACAGACATGACCTGGACACGCCAACTACGGTCTGCGAAATCGACCTCATCCTAGACCCTGTCCCGAGCGCTACAACCCACCCCTCCCCATCCCCCTCACCCGCCTCCAAAACTCATTTGGTCTTCATCCTACAGCCTGTCCCGACCATCTCTACAACCTAACCCCCCCCCCCCCCCCCTCCCCCTCTCCCTCTCCCCACTATCACCAAAACGCATTTAGTCTGCGAAATCGACTTCACCCTAAAATCTATCCCGATCATCTCTACAACCAAAGCTCCTCCAGCCCTTCCTCCCCACTCCCCTCCCCTCCCCTCCCCTGCCCCTTCCAAGGCTATCATTGAAAATGCATCACTGACTGACGATTTCCAATCATATGACGTCGTAATCATATCCGCCATGCTGTGCTACATCCAATGAAACCAATGAGCCTAGCTGCACATACCCTGAAGGCACGACGGCCTCGCAAAATCGATAGTCACATATCAGCAGCGGTCGCAGCCTCCCGATCCGCGAGTCAGTTCCCTTCGCCAGAGCTCCCCTCCCTTCCCCTCCCCCTCCACCCCTGCCGGCGCACACACATTCATTCCCCGCTTCCTTTCCCTCCTCTTTTTACCTCCCTCTTCCTTTCCCTCCTTCGCAAAACCAGTTGAACCTCAACAATGTCCCGCATTTTAAACGGTTGAACCCACTGCCAACACAGGGACCACTCTTCATACACATATATTGTCACACTGTGATTTATACACATATTATCAATATACGTATTCATTCTTTTGGCTGAGGTGCCTCAACAGTTAATGAGGGGGAAGTTGACAGGGAACCAAGGGTCACTGATGTATACAGAGACGCGAACTATTCTTTGTCAGCAACCGGTCGGAACACGCATTCTTCCCTGACATTCTTTCTTCCCTTTTTCTTTTGTTTTGGCCGCGCCATCTTCTTGTTGGGCAGATACGCTGCTACCTTTGGCCTGCTTGCGCTTCACCCTGAAACCCTGAGACGTCGACACATGAACAAACCGACTCCTCCTTCGTCCGCTGAGTCGTCCGACGGCCAAGATCCTCGATTACTATTCCCACAATACCTTCGGTTTTCCGAGGGCAGGACGAATCCGATGCTTACAAATAACTCGTGAGTGGGGGGCGCACTTCGAACACACACGGGCATTATAGTGACATTTGCTGTAAATCTTTTGTGTTGCGGGCGTGCGTGTGTGTGAGAGAGGGAGAAGAGAGACGAAGAGCAAGATAGAAAGACAGAGAGAAAGAGAGAGGCAGGCACACAGACACATTTCGACGGACAAACAGATACACAGATCGCCCGATAACAAAATACCCATGCGCGCGCGCGCGCGCGAGAGAGAGAGAGAGAGAGAGAGGACGAAGGGGATAAATACCGAGAGAGATAATATCGCTGTGATGTATGTATGTGTGTGTGTGTGAGAGAGAGAGAGAGAGAGAGGAAAAGAAATGCCGACCTTAATGAACAGAGGATAATATCGCTGTGATGTATGTGTGTGTGTGAGAGAGAGAGCGAGAGAGAGGAAGAGAAATGCCGACCTTAATGAAGAGAAATTAGAAGAGTGCCGAGTGCTCCTCCAGCTCAGCCTAGCGTTTTGTAGAAGATGCGGGAGACAAAAGAATAAAGGAAAAGAAAAAGTACGAAACCTAAGATCGATAGAGAGAAGCAGGACGGGAAAAAATATGCTGTGTTTGTTCGATATCCTCCGAAACAGTGAACCTCGGAGCAAACCGGCAGCGAGGCGGAGTGAAAATCCACGAGGAGGGGTGAAGAGAAGTAGAGAACGGAACAACAGCAGATCAGAGAGGGCAAGCGAGATCAGCAAAAGGCTAGCGACCTCGCACGCGCGCGCGAGAGAGAGAAAGAGAGAGAGTGAGAGAGTAGATTTAGAAGAGAATGAGAGAGAGAGAGAGAGGAGATTTGGAAACGAGAATAAATTACGGCAAAAAATAAAGAAATGGCAGTATCCGATGGATATGCTAACAGCACCTGTAAGAATGAATACATTAAGCAAGTGCTCATGGAACGGGGTCCCGACCAGACATTGATGCAAAAAGGATCAAACGGTTCGGCTGCTGCCTCGTCCTCCACGGTCCCAGACTCCGACCCGGCTGCCACGTCAGCCCCGCCTTCCGACCCCGCCTCGTCGCCAATGCTGGAAGCATGGTAAAGAAGTCGGTCGATGATATCCGACATGGCGTCTGTTCCTCCATGATCGGCAGTTCCTTGACTGCTAAGACTTCTTGCGCTTGACGTTGTTGTCAACACCGCCGCACCTCCACTTCCACCCACACTCCCCTCCCTCCCTCCCCGTTCTCTTTCTCCTCCTCCCACCTTCCTCCCGTCCAGAGTCGGGCTTCGTACTCTCGGAAGGGTTGTTCCCCCTCCCTCGCCTCCTTGCAGTTGTTGCCCGGTCGCCGCCCCTTCTCCTCCGCCGCCATCTCCTGCTGCCACTGCTACACCCCCTCCTACTTTTCCTCCTCCTCCAGCACCGCTATTACCACTGCCATGGCCAGTCCCTCCTCCACCAACCATGGAACTACTACCAATAGTCCGCCTGTCAAAACTCGTACTCCTCCCCACCGAGTCCGACGATCCGGCCGTAGAAGCACGGAAAGCCGACGACTGGTCGCCCCCGCCTGCTCCGGATCCCGACTGCGCTAGTTCCCCTGATGGTGGTGCTATCCAACTAGCCGTCCCGGGGATCGAGAACGAAGTGCCACGTTGCCCTCTCGCAGCTGTAGAAGATAGCTCATATGCCCCTGCTGTAGTGGAGGAGGTCGCTGCCGTGGCCCCCCCCTTCTCCCCAGCAGCTGCTGCTTTCCCACCTCCCCTCTCTCTCCTCATCGTGGCTGCCAATTGATCCTGCAGGGTGGCCATCGCCAGAGCTCCCGTTCCCGCCCTTTGCGCATGCTTCGCCGCCGTCAGCGGGTCCCCGCCTTGACTCTGACTCCGCCCAGAGCGCGCCGATGGATCCGGAAAAGACGCCATCGCGAATATCCACCTCGCAGCGCAAATCGACAAAATTTACGCTCACGAGCCTCCTCTCGAATCCAGATCTCTCTCTTTTTTCCTTCGTTTCTTTTTTAGCCTCCAATCCCGATCTCAATTTAACGGCTGAAAGCAATCTCCGCCGGTCGGAGTACGGTCACACCACTACGTAGGTAGATAGGCGAAGCGCCAAACCGACACACGTCCTTCCAACAAACGTACCCCCAACAGACAGGACACACTGAGAACCCATGACACCCCACCTACCTACCAGGTATGCGAAGGGTCCATTATTCAGTGTGCATTCCAGGAAGGCTCTCAAACTAAAAGCACGGCAGCAGCACTCTCGTTGAGGGCGACCCCAGCTCTCCGTTCGAACCCCCAAACGCAGCAGAAGAGAACTGCCGTGGTTCGAACGGACAATCGCTGAAACGCACGGACAATCGAATCTTGAACACAAAAGGGGAAAAAAAATAAAAAAAAACAAAAATCGACTTGACAATCGGACAATCGAAAGACGAGAAAGTGCGCGCACGAACGAAAGAATGGATGGACGAAATAGTTCACAAATCTTGGTGTCAAGATAAACACTGCACAATCTATCTATCGAGGAGGGTTCTTTGCGTCAGTGCTCATCAGAGAGTTCATGGCGTAGGAACAAGTGGCAATCTTGCGATTTTCTTCCAACTGTGCATTCGACTGCAAAATCCGGACGGCCATTCTCGACCAAGGGGGTAGTGCTACCCGCATTCAAACAACTCAACAAAATATCGACAGCCTGACGAGGAGAAAGACTCTCTCTCTCTCTCTCTCTCTCTCTCTCTCTCTCTCTCTCTCTCTCTCTCTCTCTCTCTCACACACACACACACACACACACACACACACACACACACACACAAGTTGCAATCTGATGTGGGAGACTGGCAACCGTGGCTACAGCATGACCCACATCCGATTTCGTGCATTGCAAGCCGGGATCAGCTTGGTTCCAAAGAAGGACGGCAGACACCTCGTGCAGTCCGCCATCACCCCTCCCACAGCAGAGGCAGAGGCCCCTTTTCTTTTTTCTTCTTTTTTTTTTTGAAAAGAACTCCCTTCAGACTACTAGGGGCGCTGATATGAGCAGACACCGCTAGTATCGTGGGGAAGGCAGAGGAATATGCACAGCGTGACGATTGACAGATCAAACACATCAACGCAGCCTGGGCATATTGACCCCAACACACACGTGACCCGAGACATGCGTGAGACACGACCCCATTCGCGGCGCGCGGAAAATCGGAAAAGTCGGGGCCGTTCCTCACGATTCGTAAGAATTACAAAAAATGGATCCCGGACGCTGAGGGGCTTTGGGTCTGATCCCTCACTACATACGGTAAGTAAAAAAGTGCGTTTTGGCGGATCCCACAGTATTCCGGTAACTTGGGGCCTACCGGCAGTTGCACTACTCTCCATAGGCCAAGTTTGGCGAGTAGGTGCTGGTTGCACTTATTCGCCAAACTTGACGAATGCAAAATGTGTCAGACGGCTTGGCAGACCGTCGACGCAAGTTGTGGAAAGTGAATTCGGTTTCCCCGCCTGTGCACGGCGGTTTGTGGAGAGTGGTCCTCAGACCTCTCGGACCTCTCCACAAAACAGCTTTCTGGAGAGTGCCGGGCTTCACGAGTCGACATCAGGTAGACGAAAAAAAAAAACTTCTCTGTAGAAGAAATATAATGGCGAGTAAGTGCAACTAGGCCCTTGGGAGGCGAGTGCAAACATTTGTAGTCGTGGCGGGCAGGGAATGAACGGCGCAGTGTGAGGTGCAAAAAAGTTGTAAGGAAAATGGACGCTTGGATCCCACAGTGCGTTTTTAAGAACGGATTTGGATCCCATGGGCCCGACGGGGAAGGCACTTCTCCACAAATTTTGCCGACATGCACTCCGTCCCAAAGCCATCTACGGACATTCAACGGCCAACGACCACGAACCGACAACAGAAAAAAGAGAAAACCCAATTTTGCACAGGCGAGCAGTTCATTAGTGGTCTGGGTGTTGATTGGGGGGATCCCACAGAACTACCCAAGCAGAGAAGGGTGGGGGTACGTGGGGCAGGTGGCCAGGGCAGCAATGCTCTGGGTCATCTGGCAAGACAGAAACGGCCTCAGGTTTAGAGGGGAAGGTCTGCACGAAAAACAGGCTGAGGCAACCTTCAGAGGCCTGTTGGTCTCATCAATGAGGGCCGACTGGTCCAGGAAGGCAGGTCTGGGTAGACAGAGGGAGGGCTTAGCGTGGTTCCGGAACACCTAGACACTAACTGACAGGTTGGCATCCATCTCCGTAGACTGCCGTCTGAAGGTTAGCAGTTGGCTAGAGCATGGGTAGGGCGAGGAGGAACGAGGGTGCTTCTTCGAACCAGGACACTCGGTTCCCTTAGACGGTCGCAGTGGGCCGTACGGGTAGGGCGGGTTGGAGAGTGTCGGTCCTCAGAAAGGAAGGGAGTTTCCTCTCGGCCGTTTGGAGGAAGTGTTCCAGACCATAGTAGGTCTGTGTATAGATAGGTTGAGCCTTAGCCGTAGGTGAAAGCAAGTTAGGTTAGGGTAGTGTAGGATAGGATAAGAGTAGGACTGGGAATTGGCAATAGCAGAACTGGTTCTGACTTGGTGCAGTATTTGTGAGTGTAACTTGTGATACGCAACCTCACGCCCCCTCGCAGCTTCCCGTACTGGGTCGCCGATCTGAGTTCTAGGAGGGGCGTGGCCGAGGATTTTTGGCCGTAGGGGTTGAGTCTCCCGGACGGAACGGGAGGCTCTGGTTTCGTGCCAGAGGTACCCCGGAGTCGAGCTGTCGTCGCGAAGTCCCGTGGGGGTCGGATCACTCCAAAACGATAAAATCAGAAGGGTTTCCACAAAAACGAATTGTCGTCGTGCATCGGGACGGAAAAAGGCATCAAGGGGAGAGGGATGGCGGCGGAAGACAGAAACTTCGATCGTCATGGGCTTGAGGGATAGGTAGTGGGTTCGAAGCCTTCAGGCCTCGTCATCGGCCTCGTGAAGTGACCGGACCGACGGGTTTTTGCTGTAGAAGTGGTTGGTTCGAGGCCTTCAAGCCTCGGCGTCGGACTCGCCAAGTCCGCGCGGAAGTTTCCGAGAGGGTGAAACGGCTGGAGGACTCGCCAGCATCCGGATTCGAAATTGCGCGAGCAGTGCCCCCGCATTGCGGGAGAGCTCCGGGAAACGTGTCGCTCCCTCGTAACCCAGGACCAAGCGTCGCCAAGAACACGAGTCCCCCTGGCGACACCAGCGACAATCAAACTGCGGCCGCCACGCGGCGTGAGCGGCCGACCAGGGCAACACCGTCAAACCCGTATAAGGCAATATTAGAGTCGGGGAATCAAAGCGATCAATCAAGACAAACCCGTTCCCCCTATATTACACGCCCGGGGTGGATCTCGCCAACACACTTGCTCCGTCCGTCACAGCGCGCGTCGTACATCCGCATCGCAGTAGACGTTGTCGTCATCTGCAATGGGGAAGGTCGGTAGCAAGATGAGACGATCGGAGGTGAGCGATGAACACGGGCAAAATCCCACGCTCCCGGTCATCCGAACCAACACCGACTCCATACAACACTCGACGCAACTCTTCTCTCTCAAGGTGGGTTCGTCAGAAGAAGATGATGAAATCCAAGCTCCCTTCCCCTTGCGGGGGCGTCGACCGCGCGCGCGGACGCAGGCGGTTGACGTCACCGTTGCAGGGACGAGAAGTTCCAAAAGCGATGACTATCAGTTCAAAAAGAAAGGCGATGGAGAGAGAGAGAATGAGTTACACCGAGACTGCGCGTGCGTGCAGGAAAGGCCGCGGAGGGGAGGGGAACAACAGGATCAACACACTCATACTCCTACGCAGACGGTCCTCCAGTTCAGTTCTCCCGTCCCCGCCCGGATAAGTACATACACACATACATGCATGCAATCAACAACGCTTGACAGGACATCCAATCATCCATAGACCTTCGACATCACTCATGCGCACAACCAGCTCCCATCACTCCGGGCTTCACACACACGTCACACGTCATGCATAGACAAAGCAGCAATGGAGATAAAAGCGAGTCCTTCKTATACACAAAAATTCTCAATTAACTGCCACCCCCAGGCGCAGCCTTTAAAACCTCCCAAGACCACCGACCACCATAGCCACAAGGCCTTGCCGCGGTCGGCGCCCAATCCCCACCACTACTCAGTCCCTCCGACTGCTTCGCCCCGAGACTACCGCGGGTCCACCCCACGTCGTCACTCCGCCCGTCCTTGGGCTCGTCGAGCCTGTTCGGCGTCGCGGACTTTCGCGCATAGCTCGCGCAGCATTATAGCCGAGATCAAAGAGAGAGAGAGGAGAGGGTTGCGCGAATTTATACCGCGGGAGGCGGCGGGTTATCAGCGCGAGGTGCGGGCAGCGCAAGTTGTAGATGAGCAGATGAGGAGGAAGGTGGGGAGTTAGAGGGTTCGACCCGCGGGATGGCATGGTCCTACGTGATTGGGGTGTCCGTTCAAGTGGTGCGCGGTTTCCCTCTCTCCACATTGATCCGAGCATCCCAACTACGCGGCCAATCACTTCGCGAAGTAAGGATCGAGCTGGGGGGGGAGGGGAAAACGAAGAGTCCTGCATGGGGGAAGTGCGCGCATCAAGAAGGGAAGATGGCGCGGGGATGCAAAGCAAGAACCGGGGGTGCGAGACGCGCGAAGAAGTCGGAGCTTAGGTGCGCGCGCGCGCAAAAATTCAAAAAATCCCCACCGAAACCATTTCTTGGTTTTCATACCGCGGCCCCTATTCGCCCGCGCGGGAGTTATTGACCAAAAATAAAAAAACCGTTTGAAAAAGGAAAACAAAAGCAAAAAGAAAGAAAAATTCTTGTTTGTCCGCATCTGTGCCTCGGGGCTTCCGGGGGATTTTTCCTCAGGGATACGGGAAGTCGCGTGGTACGGGTCTGAGCTTATCACATCTGTGATACGCAGGGGGTTCCGAAAAATTAGCAGTCTCCCGACTGCTGAGGTCATCATGTCTTAGATGATCGGGCGGCCTCTTCATCGTCAGCTGGCTCGATCATCTTCCTAATCTACGTGGATACATCTTGCATCCTCCATCACCTCCTCTCATAGTATACATCCGATCGGGCGGCCCCTTCATCGTCAGCTGGCCCGATCGGTAAGAAATTTTTTTCTTTTTTTTTCTTTTTTTTTTTTAAACACAGCGCGTCTTGACGCGCGAACTTTGGGCATAGGAGAAGAAGATGATGAAGAGAAGGAGAAGGAGAGAAGCGGGGAGAGTTAGACGAGGGTGATCAGAGGAAGTGATCGATGTCGGGATTGAGAGGGGGCGGAATAGGTGGAAGAAAAGCGGCCATTGCCGCGGGAGTCGGCGCCGCATCTTCCTCCTGGAAGTGGTGCTGGACGAACGAGGGATAGAGGAAGGCCCCCAGCACATGAGACAGGACACGTGGCGCCAGATCCGCCACCACTCGCACCACCCGCTTGCGCACCGATCGGGGCCCTGGACCCGTTATCACCACACGAGTCTCGGTGTAAGGCCCTGCGCAGCATCGTTTCGTGGGCTGTGAATCGGTGTCCCCCCCGTCCTTGCACTCTGGCCACCAATCTGGCCGCCTGCTCCGCGTACTCGCGCACAAAACTTCGCGCCAGCTCCCGACTCGACGGTGGCAGGATCGTCAAGTCACCGATAAAGGTGGCGACGCTATACACGAAGTTGGGTGCCACTTGGAGCGCGTGGAACTCGATGAACACTCGAGTCGTCTCCCGCCCAGGCAACAGCATCACGTCCACGTACACCCCCTCATACGTCAGCCGATCGCAAAGTAACGAGTACGCCGCCAGATCAGCAACCCCGGGCGCTGGCACGTTCACCTGCTGAATGTCGTACCGCAACTGCCTTTCCTCATTGAACTGATGCCGCAACAAGCGATCTGCAAGCGACGTCTGGAAATGCTCGAGGGGCTCATGCTCCGGCTGGCGATGGTTCATCCTGCTCCCTGAAACTCTCAGCACCAATGGACGAGGCCGATCGGGAAGAGGAGGAAGACGAAGAAGGAGAGGATGATC